CCTTTTATCCCCCCACATCCCCTCCCCCAAAGGGGGGGAAGGGGGGGAGGTGAGGGGAGGTGAGGGGAGGTGAGGGGAGGCAAAACGCAATACAGAAGCACTACCCTTGGAGATAGATGCCTTCCCAAAGCCAGAAATTGTGGAAACTCTTCCTGAGCTGAAAAGCTCCACAATGACTGGGTTCATTCTGAATTCACTAAGATACTAAGATCATGCTTTCTGCCATCAGATGTATTAGTAATACAAAGAGAAATTTAGCTGAGGAATATTTCCTTTTCAAATACTAGAGTCTACAGTTTGGAAATTGCATGCCATCCTCAGCCTTTCTCATTTGCAGGGAGTGAAATTGGACACACTGCACAGTAGACTTCACCCAGAGTCAGGGATTGGAAAGCGAAGCCCTAGGTCTGGGTAGCAGAACAGGCAGGAAGGAACAATATCTTTAATAATGATTTAACTGAGCAAAACCAGTAGTTAATTCCCTTAGACACAGCCACAGTATTCAACTGTAGAAACCCAAATTAAGCAAACTGAGCGAGACTAATTAGAAAAAAAATTAAAAATGCATGATGTAAATGTAAGACCCCTTGTTACAAATTGCAGGAGATGCATTAGGAAGTTGGGACATGAGGGATTCTGGATTCCAGGAAGGGCATCACCAACACTATCCCAGGGCCAGGACAGGAAGGGAGAACAGCAAGCCCTGGAAAGGTGGGAGGCGTTGAGATGACAGTCACAGGTGAAAGTGCCGGTACTTAGTAGGTAGAAGCTCTCAGAAATGAGTTGTCAAGTGAAATGTAGGGAAAACAAGCACAGTCTGCTTCAGTCTTAATTTGAGCTCTGCAAAAGCATAGTGTGAGATAATTGGGACATGCACTGAGTTGAAATTTGCTTTTGTTCCATTAATGGAGGAAGAGAGTGTTAAGAAAATTAACAGTAAGACAGCGTGGCAGGGAGGGAGTACAAACAAAGGGCACAAACTGTGTTCAGTCACCCTGAAGCACTTAGAAGAAACCGTTAACATATAAACAATAGTTAATCACATATCACTGGTAACTACCCACAGATCGAGGCACTACAAAAGATTATTATTAGGTGATATTTAACAGCCTTGGTTCCGTTTCTCCCCTCACCGGTGAGTAATAAAACCAAGTTTTATTCGCATTATTTTGTAATTAAGGTAATTCAGACAGGTCTCCCAGTTACTTCTTTTTTTTTTTTTTCGTTTGAGACGAAGTTTCGCTCTTGTTACCCAGGCTGGAGTGCAATGGCGCGATCTCGGCTCACTGCAACCTCTGCCTCCTGGGTTCAGGCAATTCTCCTGCCTCAGCCTCCTGAGTAGCTGAGATTACAGGCACGCGCCACCATACCCGGCTAATTTTTTGTATTTTTAGTAGAGACGGGGTTTCACCATGTTGACCAGGATGGTCTCGATCTCTTGACCTCGTGATCCACCCGCCTCGGCCTCCCAAAGTGCTGGGATTACAGGCTTGAGCCACTGCGCCCGGCCTCCAGTTACTTCTAATTAGGTTTCTCATTATTAAGAATCAGAGATTCAGGAAACTGCTGGTGAATTCACCGGCAAAATCAAGGGCTTTCGGTGTGAAGAGTTTTGTATTTGCCTTGCGTTTGGACAGCCTTATATTCAGATACCTCATTCATTTTCTGACAAAGGGTGTTGGATTTGTCCAATACCCATTTTTCAGTTCCCAGAATCTACCAGAAGTTTTCAAGCTAGTTCCCATTTCCCTGGAAACTTCTGGTAGGTTCTTGAAGCCCATATAATCCCTTAATTCCAAGGCCTAGGTCTTGAGAAGGTGAGCTGGATGTGATCTTGAAAGTACAAGAAATTGGAAACTGTGAAGGGAGCCAGGGGCTGAGCTGAGAACCTTGAACCCAAGACCACATAGGGCTAGTCACGCAAGGCCCATGTAGAGGATGGGATGGGTGAGCCCACTCCAGACCTCCCTGCTCATTTCCAAGAGCCTAACACACTTAGGAAGGCAGAGTGGGTTAGAGTGATGGGAGCAGAAGCTAGAATTCTTCTGGGAGGTGGGGGTAAGGAACAGGCTCCAAGCCTGTGAAGGAAGTGCCAGAAAGATCTAGACAGGGATGTTTTGTCTCCTTCTGAAAGAGCTTTGGGGTTCAGAGGGTAAGAACTAGAATGTGAGATGGGAAACTAGGTCAGAAGCCCAGTATGTGGACTGAGCAAGACAGCTGGGACCAGGTAAGGCTGCTGTGTGGTGGAGATGGATTCCCCAAGGCTAGACCAACTACTGGGACCGGCTCATGGTGCCTCGGCTAATTTCATACCCCACCCACTGGAATCTAGAACTGACCTGGTCTCATTGTCTTTGAAATGGATTAGGGACAAACCGAACAGGCTTGCAGACAGGGACCCGGGTGAGGATAGGGACCGGGCAGGGTAGGGGCTGCGGGGTGGAATCGGGGTTAATGAGAGTCCCACCCACCTCTGTCACAGTGAACACAAGCTTTATTTTGCTTATTTGACAAGATGTTGGTAGTTGACAGAAAAAACACACCACACTTTAAGTCAATGTTTGTTGAGTATGACTAGCGTAGTGGTAGGTCCTGGGAGAAAATGTGAAACAAATATAAGGCATTCCTTTTACTCAAGGAGCTTGAGGACTGTAACACATCCACCCAACACATATGGAAACAGTAGTTTAAGACAGAGTTGCATTCAGTGGCAAGAAGAGAGGTATGTCTGTGACAGTAATGAAGCTCACGGGGTGGTGAGTCAAGGAGGGCCTCATGGAAGAAGCAACCCAAGCTGAGCTTTAAAGTGTGAATAAAATTGAGATAAATAGATGAAGTTGGAAGGCAGGTCTGGGTGGAAAGATACACCATGGATTGCGAGAATCAAATGAGATACTTCACAGAAAGTCACTTGCTAAGGGAGTCTTGCTAAGACTCTTGGCACCAAGAATGCCCAAAGCAAATGAGATGTATGGCTGTTGCTGTTACGGTTATTTCGGTGACTTTTACTGTTGTTGCTATTTTTGTTTTTATGCTATTTTTTTAGCGCTTTTCATAAAGGCAATGAGGATTAAAGGGATACATTTGGGAGACAGCAGAAGGGGTGTGGTTTTGAATTTCTTCTCCAGAACTATGTGGGATGAAATGAATTGCAGGGAACAAGGGCTTGCATCAGAACTATTTCTGTATGAACAATGCATCCAAACTGCTTGTGCTCAAGGGGTCATAGAAAAAGTTACTGAGAAATGTAAGCCACGTTCTCGCAAACACCAGCACTCATCACGGTGTAACTAAAAATCAGTGTTTTAGTCAATACGTGTATCTCTCAAATAATGAATCTGAGCGTTCTGACCAGACACAATTCCTCTCTGCGTTTCTCTTGGTCCAGTGGTCCAGCTTTTGTATCAGTAGGAATCAGATAAAGACGCTGTGATTCTCGTTAGTGTCTGGTGGTGACGTTGCTAGGACAGAGGACAAACACTTGGAGAGAGCAAGGCAGGATTTGTCCACACGTTCCAAACACCCCTGCAGGTGCCAGATTCAAAAAATGGCAGATTTAAACTGAGATAGATTCTTGCCTGAGTCTTAGAATAACCACCTTATTGCTGATTTTTATCCCCTTTGCCATGGAGGGCCTCTCTCCATTCTGCTTACTGTCACGTTCCAAGAATATCAAAGAGGCCACACAGGCAGCAAAACTGAGTGGTGTCCTGTACTCCCTGGGTGCACAAAGCCTGACAAGACAGACTCTCTGGTCTGCAGGCTGATTTTATAAAGCGGATTATTCAGTCATCATTAAGTGGTAACAAACTCTAATTTCACTTTCCATGGTATATCGTGGAGCTGTGCAGCTGGGCTGTGTGTATGCATTAGGAGGTGATTCCGAGGGACAGGGTTTCACTGCAGCCATTGGAGGAGTGGTTTGCTCAGGCTCTGCTTTGCTACAGGGTCTTTAGGGCCCTCGAAGTGTAAATCTGACTCCCGGGAGAGCTCCCTGCTGAAAGTTTTATTCTGAGTATTCACAAATATTCACATGCTTCCAGTAGGGAGTTGGATGTTACAGTAATGCTTCCTCATTGTGTAAAAACCAAGTCATTTCAAGAACACACAGAGTATTAACAACCACAACAGCAGCAAAACCCAACAAAGCAACAGCTAGAATCTTCTGGAACTATTTTTTTCTTTGGTGGAAGGGACCAGTTTGAGACCTGTGAATTATTGCAACGACTAAACATATCATTAGGCAGGGAGTGAAATAACCTGAAAACCCAGCATTCTGATGCAGGAAGCAGGAAACTGTTGTTTTCCCAGATGCGTGGTGCATTTCCGTCCACAAGATCTTATTGCAGAACAGGAAACAATACAATATTAGCTTCATGAGGATCCTTCCTCAGTGTGGCCCTTGGATACTTTGAAGGTGAAACTCACCAAACTCTCAGTCTTCTAGGAGGTAACTTGTTGCAAACAGTGGCATCATCAGCTACCCTCAGAGAAATCTGCTTCTCACTGATGTTTAATGAAAAGGATCAGCAGAGAAAGCATCGTCCCTCCTGCCTTCTCAATGCTGTTTCTCATCACTTCAGTCACCGTCCTGGTGACTGGGGAGCTTTCCACACCTTTGGTGTTCCTAGCAAAAACTCACAGCTCTAACCCCTACTAGAAGCAGACATTTCAAGTACAGCTACAGCATTAACTAAAAGTGCTTTCACCTGAGGAAACGGGGAAAGTAAATCTCATCCACTCAAAAATTTTACTCACGATTCACACATTTCCAGCGGCATCAGAAAAACACCGCCTGTATTCGTAAGAAGCTAGAGTCTAGGTCTCTATACAATAAAGCTTGTTGCTTTAGCACTTCAGACTTTTCAAAATCCTTTTTAGTAAAGAAAATAAACAATACTCATTCACAATACTGGCTAGGATACTTTAATTGACACTCTTAAGCTCCACCAGCCTCATTATTGTAAGTCAGTGTTCAGAGTCAAAGGCAGGAAACTCACCTTAAAGGAATAGTAGAAGGAGCCCCATTCCTTTCCTTCCACCACTTCAGTAAAAGTCACTGTTTCAGTGCAAGCCACTGGGGAGGAATCCGGCGTCTGCCTGGTCCCATTGGAATCGAGGCTGCTCTCTGTGAAGTTGGCTGGCATGGCTCAGGCAGGGTTGAACCTTGCTGTCCCTGATCCTGCAGCTGAGTGAGAGTGTCCAGCTCGCCTCCTGAGATCTGGGCAGCAGCTGCAGCTCTGCTGAGCAGAGGCACAGAGCCCTCCCTGAACCCACCTCACTGAAGAGCTCTGCCTGATGACCGGGAGGATTCATGTGCTGCTCACTCTTTGGCAATGACCACCGGGTAGCCAGCACAGCACCACCCTCATCATCCCACGGTCCCACCCACAGACGGGGCCCCACCCCCAAGAGCAAAGTGGAGCCCCCCACAGCCATCGACGTGGCTCCCTGGATGGGACCCCTGCTCTGTTGTGCTTTTCCTGACTTCCACAGCAGACCCCCACTTCTGCTGTAGCTTCAACAATACAGAAATTTGGACTAATCAGTAGGTGCAAGAACTCCGGTTATGTTTCCACTTCTGAAATCAAATCAGTTATGCATTTATTTCAGCTGAGGTTGCTTTCTGACTTAAAGATCACCTTGTGATCTACTCCGTCAGGTACGTTTATTTCCATAAATATAGGCAAATACTACGTTTGTATTTCACACCCATAATTCGATCTAGGTGTTCACGGGGCAGTTCTCAGAAAAGCATGAGGTCTGTGTTTGTCAATAAGCCACCACACCTCGTGCTATGACTGGGAGGAGCCTAGTGAAGACTCTTATTGCCTTCAGTATATTCACCCATTTCTACCTCGGACCAATACTCGGGGTGAGGGTAGAAGGGAGGTAGTGTAGCATCCTGGGCACCACAGACAAGGCTAGGCAAGAATATTAAGAGCTGCTCCTGTTTCTCTCCTCTCTCTCTCTCTCTCTCTCTCTCTCTCTCTCTCACACACACACACACACACACACACACACACACACACACAACCTACAAAGCACATTTACGTGTTCTTTCATTCAATTTCCAAACAACCCCATGAGATGGGCAAGGAACGTGTCTTTATGTTCTCCCTTATGCTAGCAGAGAGTGGCTCCAATGGGTGAAATGACTTGCCCAAGATCCCACAGCTGTGGTGTAAATGAGCTGATAACCCGTCCCCAGAATTTCCCAGACAGTGATGCTTTCACTGTAGCAGATTAGTTTGCATCAAATCTCAAATGCCTGTGGGGCACGAAGGTAACATGAATGGGGGTAGCAGGCCAGGTCTAGAACAATAGGAACTAAGCTGCTTATAAGACCACCAAGCGTAACACCTGATTCCTTACGCTGAAAGCACGCTGTGAGCCAAACAGGTCCAGTCACTGGTTTCTGACACCTGGAATAAGAGGTAGCAGGTTTAGAGGCCACCATTAAAGAACCTAGTCCTATGAGATCTCCCGGGAAAACTTCATTATGAACCATCCAGCCCCAAGGAGGGCACAGTGCTCTAGCAATGAGAAGGCATTCAGTTTATAATGAAGGGCAGCAAACAGAAGGGAGTTGTGCCGAAAGCTGGATAAGCTGTGGGTTCTTAAAGAAAGGGTTAAAACAGGACAGCAACTCAATAGCAAAACAAGTGCAGCATATTCCAGCTAACAAATAAGCATGAAAGTATGTTCACCCAGATTAACAAGTAAGGGAAATAAAACAGTGAAAAGCTGGTGTGTGGCTACTCCCAAGTGGTAAAGATGGAAGGAAATGGCTGTGCATCTTCTGGTGAGAGTTAGTTGACATGGTACTTTTGAAGAGCAATTCAGCAGTATTTAGTAAAGCTGGAATTACATATCCTGTAAATGCACTGTTCCATTTCTCGGTCCTAATGACTTTTCATCTCTATTCGGGTTACTTACATGTGCTGAATTCACAGAAATTCTTTGCACTGCAAACTTAAAACACGTGCACTTTTCTGTAGGTATGTTTTACTTCAAGCAAATGTTTATAAGACAAAATATGTGAGGAACTTTTGAAAGAAGGTGGAAGATGGTTAGGTCACAGTGTGTAGGAGCAGAGTGAGGGAAAGCGGCAGCTTCCATGGACAGAGAACAGGTGGGGAGGGAGAGCTTTCTGTGGCAGCTTCCATGGATGGAGAACAGGTGGGGAGGGAGAGCTTTCTGTGGCAGCTTCCATGGACGGAGAACAGGTGGGGAGGGAGAGCTTTCTGCGGCAGCTTCCATGGACGGAGAACAGGTGGGGAGGGAGAGCTTTCTGCGGCAGCTTCCATGGACGGAGAACAGGTGGGGAGGGAGAGCTTTCTGCGGCAGCTTCCATGGACGGAGAACAGGTGGGGAGGGAGAGCTTTCTGTGGCAGTTTCCATGGACGGAGAACAGGTGGGGAGGGAGAGCTTTCTGTGGCAGCTTCCATGGACGGAGAACAGGTGGGGAGGGAGAGCTTTCTGTGGCAGCTTCCATGGACGGAGAACAGGTGGGGAGGGAGAGCTTTCTGTGGCAGCTTCCATGGACGGAGAACAGGTGGGGAGGGAGAGCTTTCTGTGGCAGCTTCCATGGACGGAGAACAGGTGGGGAGGGAGAGCTTTCTGTGGCAGCTTCCATGGACGGAGAACAGGTGGGGAGGGAGAGCTTTCTGTGGCAGCTTCCATGGACGGAGAACAGGTGGGGAGGGAGAGCTTTCTGTGGCAGTTTCCATGGACGGAGAACAGGTGGGGAGGGAGAGCTTTCTGTGGCAGCTTCCATGGACGGAGAACAGGTGGGGAGGGAGAGCTTTCTGTGGCAGCTTCCATGGACGGAGAACAGGTGGGGAGGGAGAGCTTTCTGGTTGTGCCCTTTTCTTTCCACTCCTGATCCGGGGGGATCACTGTTCAACCTGTGGCTACCCAAGAGAAACATTTATGCATCTGTACAAGCAGACATGCAGAGATGCCTTTCCAACTTATTATAGAAACATATCAGGAGCAACCTGAATATTCATAATGTCAAAATCAATGAATCATCCCAAACTGGAAACCACCCAAATGTCCATCAACCGGATGAATAAATTTTCATGCAGTCACACCATATAGTAATATGAAAATGATCTACAGCCAAAAATAACACAAATGGAACTTACAAACATAATGCTAAGCAAAATAATAAATGTTTTAATTTTTGTAAAGTATAACCATGCTTGTATACAATACAGTGGAATGTTATACAGTAGTTAAAAGAAATAGCTGTGGACAAGGTGACAAACTACCATGGTATAATGATTAACATTATGTTTCAGCTTGACAAGGCCGTGGAATACCCAAACAGTTAAACATTATTCTGGGTGTGTCTGTGAGGGTGGCTCTGGGTGAGATTACATTTGAATTGGCAGACTGAGTAAAGAAGATGGCCCTCCTTAAGGTGAATGAATCTCATCCACTCAATTAAAGGCCTGAATAGAATAGATAGGGGAATTCTTCTGTGGAAAAGGGTGAGATCCTCCTGTCTGACTACTTTGAGCTGGGACATTGTGTTTTTTTCTGGTTTTTGCTCTTGAACTAAAACATCAGTTCTTGAGTCTCCAGCAAGCTGGCTTTCAGACTGCAAATACACCATCAGCTCTCTTGGTTCTCAGGCCTTTATACTCAGACTGGAACTACACATCAGCTCTCCTAGGTCTTCAGCTTGCTGCTTGTAGGTCTTGGGACTTCTTAGTCTCTTTTAATTGTGTGAATGATTATTTCATATTGTATTCCTTATAAGACATTTCTCTGTTTCTCTCTCCCCTCCCTACACACACACACACACACACACACACACACACACACACACACATCTTCTGTTGCTTCTGTTTCTCTGCAGAACTAATACACATTCTCACCTGAACTCATTTGTAGAAATTCCATAAAAAGGAGAGCAGCACTGATGAAATGTAGGACTTCAAGGAAAACCAGAAGACATTTGCTAGAATGGCTTAAATGATAAAGATGGAAAATACTACCTGTTGGTGAGGATGTGGAGGTACAACTAGCATACCTACTGTAGGGATTCAAGTTGGGACAAGCCCCTTTAAAAAACTACACGAATGTTCATTGCAGCACTGTTTACAATAGCAAAGGCCTGGAATCAACCCAAATGCCCATTGATAATAGACTGGATTGGAAAAATGTGGCACATATACACCATGGAATATTATGCAGCAATCAGAAATGATGAGTTTGAGTCGTTTGTAGGGACATGGATGAATCTGGAGAACATCATCCTCAGCAAACTGACACAAGGACAGAAAATGAAACACCGCATATTCTCACTCATAGGCGGGTGATGAAAAATGAGAACACATGGACACAGGGAGGGCAGTACTAAACACTGGGATCTATTGGGGGGAAAAGGGGAGGGCCAGTGGGAGGGGTGGTGGGGAGGGATAGCCTGGGGAGAAATGCCAAATGTGGGTGAAGGGGAGAAGGAAAGAAAAGCACACTGCCATGTGTGTACCTTCGCAACTGTCTTGCATGCTCTGCTCATGTACCCCAAAACCTAAAATCCAATAAAAAATAAAAAAAAAAAACAAAACTGCTCAGTAATGTCATCTCCTGCAGAATGTATGCATGCTCTATGACCTAGCAGTTTCACTGCTGAGAAAATGCCCAACACAAATGAGCACACGTTAACCAAAAAATGGAACAATCAACATGTCAGTTCTGTTTTAATAGCTCCAACTAGAAGCCACCTAAGTGCCCTTCAGTAGTAAAATAAAATAATAAATTACGGTATCTTCACACAGTGGAAAACATGCGCTAATGCAGATGAATGATGCCGAGATGCTGGTCATATTCTGCTCATTGATTGGACTGATAGGAACCTGGGGTGTTCCACTTGTGAAAATGCATTGAGCTTTATACACTAATAATTTTTGCATTCTTCTGTATGTATGTTATACAAGCTTATTTTTAAAGAACTGTGAGAAAATCCTGGAGGTGGATTAGAAGCTGACTGAGTCACATGTGATAAAGATGGGAGCATGGATAGGGAAATGGCGACTTAGAGTAGGCAAAGGCAACGTGCTGTGAACAGGAGAGAGGCCGAGAGAAGTCTTTTTAGTTGGGTCTTTTTCTGTGCACACTCTCCAGGTGGCTCATTGCTTCACACAGCAGAAACTCTGGAGCCTGGCCTGGAGATGGGGGATTGGGGTGCGCTGCAGGAGCAGGGGAGCAGATTGCAGCACATACAGATGGGCAGCCTGGCACTGAGTATTTCTTCTTGTCCATCTGTGTTAGGTTGAAATCAGGGTGTGGGCTGGGACTGCGGACTCATCACGGGGTCAACTGGGGAAGGA